TTCGCGGCCTTTCCCAGTTTCTGGTCGCCCAGGCGGCCCTCTGCCGGCGGTGCCAATCTGCTGCGCACATGTAGATCGATGTAAATATGTCCTCTGGGTACGGTCAGGTCAAACAATAAAGAAAAACCCGTTTGGGAACCAGTAAAACCTAGCGCCCTCAAAGCTCGATCACTCTCCGAAACGCACAAAATCTCATATACATTGATATCCCACTACCACCAGCGCTACTGAACGCCAACCTCCAGCCCCTCTAAACCCGATTCCCAACTATCGCCATAAAACCATTCACAGGTGCTGGAGGAGACCCCGTCCCCGTTGGTGGACTCGACTCTCCGGCAGCAGCTGACTTCAGCGGCAGTGGCACTCGGTGCGGCCTCCGCGTACCGGTCCGCGGGTACGGTGGAGTTCCTGGTGGATGAGGAGAGCCGCCAGTTTTACTTTCTGGAGGTCAACACCCGGTTGCAGGTGGGCGGGCGGGTGGGTGGGTGGGTGGGTGGTATGAGTGGGATGTAAGATGGGGAGGAGGGGAACAGAGCAGAGCGGGCTTGAAGAAGATAGAAGATGGCACAGGCTTGAACTTGATAATTTTTTGTCGTCCTACGTCGCGCTATACGGCAGGTGGAGCATGGCATTACGGAAATGGCGCATGGCAACATCGACATCGTTGAGGCTCAGCTCCGCTTGCAGCTGGCCGGCTTGCTGCCCGAGGGGGGTGCTGCAGCGCTGCTGGAGTCACTGGCTTCGGCGCCCGCTACCGGCTGCGCGATTGAGGTACGACAAGAAGGTCGAGACGCCGTACAAGCATGAATGGCAACCGCCATAATCATAAGGAGTCACCAATAACGCTGATGATGCAGCGCAATTCACTTCCGTTCCCACGTTCCGAACCCATGTTTGCCTGTCCGCACAGTGGAAGCCGGCATCCCCTCCAGTCCCTTCCACAAACCCCTGTAGCACACGCACACGCGTCAAAACACGTTAAAAACCATCTCCTCCCTCACCCCTTCATTTCTCCCTCCTCCTTTCCAATGCCGGATGCCTCTTCATTTTTTCATCACTCCCTCACCTCTGCTTTTTTCCCGTTGGTCCCGTTTCCCCTTCTCGGGCTGCTGCTCATGATAACATGGTAGGTCCGCATCAATGGGGAAGATCCCGCCCACGACTTCAGTCCGTGTCCGGGTTTGCTGGGCCACGTGTCCTTCCCGTCCCTGGAGCAAATACCGGGAGTGCGTGTGGACAGCTGGGTGGAGACGGGCACCGAAGTACGTGCGCATGTGTGTGTATGTATGTATGTGTGTGTATGTGACGGACTGTGTCTGTCCGTCGTCTTGTCTGTTTGTCTGTTTTATTGCGTCCGCGCGTAGGGCTGTGAAGCCCTCACGTTTATGTGTCTACGAACGAACGCCCCCCCACGTGTGTGTATGTAGGTATGTGTATACAAGGGCGTGTCGTAAGGGGGTGTATGAGCAGAATGGTGACCTTGGGTTGCGTGTTGTTCTGTTGGGAAGTTCGAGGCAAGCACTGGTTCGGGAGTGAGAGCGGGGGGGGGGGATAGCCCGGACTTACAAATCCGCGTCACAAGCCCTCGTGTGAAGTCTCCTGAACACCGCGACCCCTCCCCTCTTATTCCTAAAACTACCCTCTCAACTCCCCACAACCCACCCTCTTCAACTCCCCTACACGTCTAAATCTAAACTCGATCCCCCAGGTCAGCCCCCACTACGACTCGCTGCTCGCCAAGCTGATGGTCTGGGCCCCAACCCGGGAGGAGGCGGTCGCCCGCATGGTGGAGGCACTCGCGAAGACAGAACTGCAGGTGGGTCTAACAGAGGGGGGAGCTGTTAAGGGGGGAGGAGAGGGGGCAAGAAGGGGGCGGGAAGGGGTTATATCTCTATACTATAAGCAAAAGGGAGGCAGTCGGGGAGCAACTGCCGCCCGCTGACAGAGGGGGGGTAAGACTGACCACTGGAGCACTATGGTGCAGATGCCAGAGATAGACGGAAAGTCCAGGATAAGAAGACAAATGCTGCATCAGGAGTATTTACTGGCCAGTGATGACCAGTGATCAGTAGTAGGCGTCTTGGCGGCGACGTGGCCATAGCTGGGTTGCTAGACGAGTTACTTACTAGCTGCCAAGTTCAAAAGGACACGGCGGCGAAGAGGGAGACAGGGGCTACGAAAGGAGGGGGGAAAATGGAGAAGGGGGTTTGTGTGTTTGTGTATGTATGTATGTATGTATGTATGTATGTATGTATGTATGTATGTATGTATGTATGTATGTGTATGTATGTGTATGTGGCCCGCTGTGCTTCGGGGGCGTCCACCTCAGTATTTACAAGGGGTTCGGCGCCGCGATATACAGCTGCTACTGCTGTGCTGCTCATCGCTGGTCACGAGTGCTACTGCTACTGCTACTGCCGTTTATCGCTACCGCTGGTGCTACTGCTCGCCCCCACCACTACTGCCACCACTCAACACCGATAATAAAGGGCTGCTACTGCTGTCGCTGATACTGATACGGATGCTGCTACTGCCGTGGCTGTTGTTGCTCCTGCTGCTGTTGCTCCTGCGGCAGGGAGTGCCCAACAACGTAGAATTCCTTCGTGCCGTGGTGACTGACCCGCGGTTCATCCGGGGGGACACCACCACTCGCTTCCTGGAGGGCTTCCACTTCGTACCGCACGTGGCGGAGGTGCTGGTGCCCGGTAGGTGACCGGAGGAAGGGGGGGTAGGGGTGTGTGTGTGTGTGTTGGTGGTTGGTGTGAGTATCAAATACTGACCTGGGTACCGAGGGGTGGGTGGGAGGGCCGCCTGGTGGGGGTCCCCCGGGTGGGTGGGGGCATGAGCTGAGGTGGGCTAAGACAAGCGCTGGACCTTCCCACGGACTCCCCAACCTAACCCCAGTCGGGAAGCCAGTTCACTCTGGCCCTTTGCCCCCGCCCCCTAACACCCCCCCCCCTGGTGTCTCCACCTTCCGTCTCCGCAGGCATGCAGACCAGTGTTCAGGACTGGCCTGGTCGTACACGGTTGTGGCACGTGGGTGTTCCCCCCTCGGGCCCTATGGACTCCCTGTCTCACCGCCTGGCCAATGCACTGGTGGGCAATGAGGAGGGAGCGGCGGCGCTGGAGTTCAGTCTCCAAGGTGACGAAGGGGCTTCTGGGGGATGGGGTGTGAAGAGGGGAGATGTGTGTGTATATGTGTGTGTGTCTACGAGACGAAGTGCGTACGCGGAAAAGTGTGATATGTGTGACATGAGACGTAAGCAACTTTAAGTGGTGGCTGAAACCCCGCTTGTGTTTCGTCAGAGGTAGCGCTGACAGTCAACCCAGTGCAGCTATGATGATGTTGGGTTCGTCTCTGGATCCAGTTCTCATCCCCCTCCCACCCGGCCGCTGCACCCCCCTAACCCCCCAATCCATTCGCCTTCCTTTCCCCCCCCCCCCGCCTTCACGTCCCATGTCCGCTTCCGATTGACCGCCCCCCCGCAGGCCCCACCCTCCGCTTCCACTGCCCGGCGCTGGTGGCCCTGACTGGAGCGCCCTTCGCCGCCTCCCTGGACGGGCAGCCTCTGGAGTGGGGCAGCAGCTTCCGAGTGGAGGGGGGCCAGGTGCTGGCGGTGGGGCAGGTGAGCGAACATGCATACATACATACATGCACATATATACATACACATATACATACATAATACACATACACGCACACGCGGTATGTTTCCATCTTGAGTATCCGCTTATTGATGCAAGCAGGCCTGCTGCTGGCCCTTCTCGTTCTTCAGGCGCTCTATTCCCTCTTTTGCATATCCCCCGTCTGCCGTCCGCAACACGGCGCTAGCAAACAACACGGCGCGGCTCAACGGACTTGTTAGGGGGCCGCTCGCTGACCTCCTCGCCCTCCCCCCCTCCCCCCTGTGGCCTGCCGCCGCCGCGTGTAACGCACACACGCGTTCGCGCAAACCTACATACATATGTTTGTACACACACAGCTGGTGGGCGGTGTTGGCGTCCGTGGCTACCTGGCTGTACGGGGTGGAATCCAGGTTCCGTCGTACCTTGGATCCAGATCCACCTTTCCCGGCGGCAAGTTCGGAGGGTACCAGGGCAGGTACGGATCCAGGAAAAGATGGGCAAAGAGGGCGGCAGTGTCACGGCAAACGAATGTCCAACTGTCGTATTGTCGTACCAGCGCGGATACCTCGGGTAGGGGTGGGCTGGAGGTAATCCAGGTGCTCCAGGGATGTACGGCCCTCCAGGGGTGTACGGGAGTGTATTGGTGGGACGGGGTGTATTTTGTGTGTGTGGATATCGCGGTGGTGGTGGTGGTGGTAGCGCGCGCATGCGAGAGCGAGCGGGCGCCACGTACGGCCATGTCTGGACCAGCGTTTCACTCTTACCCCCTCGCTCCCCCTCACCCCATATTCATCCTTTCCCATCTGGATTTGCGTGTCTTTCCATTATTGCGTCTTATTATTCCCCCATTAGGTGTCCCTTCATCCTTTTCCCCTCCTTTACCCCCCCCCCCGACCTCTCCCCTCACCCCCCCACAGGTACCTCCGAGTGGGCGACAGCCTGCCCCTCGCGAAGGCCGCGGATCAGGGGGCCCAACCAACAAAACTACCGCCTGCCCTGGCACCCGCATTCGCGGGTAAGGCGGGGGTGCGGGAAGAGAAGAGGGGGTGGAGGAGAAGGGAAGAAACGCCAAGGAGAGGGGGTTTATATATACATACACACACATACATACACACACATACATACACACACATACATACACACATGCACACAACCTGCACATCCTCATCGGGGGCGAGCGCAGCGACCCGAGCATCGCCCTCGACTGCAGCTCAGGGTGGAAGGAGGGAAGGGCTGCTGTTGCCTAACTAGGCGGCTATCGCTGTGCGGGATGGAGGGCGGGGCGGGCCGTCATCGGATAGGAAATTTTGCTCTAATAATAAAAAAATCTTACACTGTTCAATTTACTGCCCGGTCTCTGTCCCCCCCCCTTCCTCTCTTGCCCTGGCAGCAGCTTCACTCGTTTGTGGTTCGCCTTTCCCCCCTTCCTCTCTCTTTCTCCCTTCGTCACCATTTGCACACAGCCAAAAAATCCCCACTTACCCGCCACGCCAATACACACAAACCCATATCACCTCTTCCCCCCTTGGGCCCCCACACATACATACATACTCCCGTGCGGCCTGACCCGGGGGCGGAGTGCATGAGACTAACCAGCCGTATGCACCCGCCCCCCGCGCTGTGCTTCGGCCCTGGGCCCCCGGCTTTTCAGCCCATAGTGTAATCAACGTCATACATACATACATACATACGTACGTACATACATACATACATACATACATACATACATACATACATACATACATACATACATACATACATACATACATACATACATACATACATACATACATACATACATACATACATACATACATACATACATACATACATACATACATACATACATACATACATACATACATACATACATACATACATACATACATACATACGTACACAGATTCAGGTGAGGGCGGCAAGGGAGCCTCTTGGAGCGTGGGGGTGATCAGTGGGCCGCATGCCGACCCGGACTTCATCACTCCAGACTTTATGGAGATCTTCCATTCCTCGCCGTACAAGGTTCATTACCAAAGCAACAGGTACGGCAGATAGTCGTACTGCGCCATGTAGGGGATTATACAGAACAAGGCGTGCAGTGCCCTGAGGATTGGTTGGCGTGTATTTGCGCTTTTGGGGGCGTAAGTGTAAGTGTGTGGGGGTAAGGGAGGGAATGACGGGGGTGACGGACCCGCGTGTATACACACGTGCCCTCATCGGTGCGTGTTCGGGAATAATAATAATGATATTGTTATTATTATTTTGTGCTACAGACAATACAAAAAATCTCTCTCCCCTTAGGGCATTTGCCCGCTCTTTTTCTGTAAATAGTGGTAGTGATGATGATGACGATGATGATGACATTTGAGTACGACACCTGTGTACGGCATCATTGCACGTGTTTCTTACAGGTTGGGTGTTCGGCTTGTGGGTCCCAAGCCCGAGTGGGTCCGACCGGATGGCGGTGAGGGCGGGACACACCCGTCTAACGTTCACGATCACATATATGCCATCGGGGCCATCAACTTTACGGGTGAGTGGCGCGGAGGGCACGTGTGAGTGCGTGTGTGTACGTGTGTGCGCGCGCGTGTGTGTGTGTGTGTGTGTGTGTGTATTGTGCATGCAGATGTCCTGAGTGAGTGCGTATTGTGCATTACGCGTTCATTTTGGTGTTGGAGGGGAAGGGGGAATAAAGCAGCTCCTTAACACAGTTTGTAATTCGAGGAAACGTGCAAATATGTACCTGTCAGACACGTGCACGCTCATACACACATACACACACTTACACGCAGGCGCGGCCCCCTCCCCTTCCCCGCCTCCCCCCCCCTTCCCGCAGGTGACCACCCCGTGGTCCTCACCGTGGATGGTCCCTCCCTGGGTGGCTTTGTGTGCCCGGCCACCATCACGTCCACGGAGCTCTGGAAGATTGGACAGGTGGGTTTAGGGTTTGTAGGGGAATGAGCTGCTGGAAGAGGAGGTCATGTTTGCGTGTTTGTGCGTATGTGTGCTTGGGGTGTGAGTGGGTATATGGTATATGGTGGGGGAGATATCATGTATGTGATTTTGATGGACAGCTGTGGGCTACTTGGGCTGAGAGAAGAACGGCGAACGTGGGCGTATGCGTGTAATTGTGCAGATGTTAGATGGGGTGAGGGGAAGGGAAAGGAAAGGGAATTGAAAAGCAGTGAAGGGTAAATGTCGTTATGCGGTGGTTGTGCGGTTGGTATGCCGTTAGTGTTTACGTTGGTTTGTTTGGTTTGGATTGGCGTTATTGGCACACTCGCCGTACAGGTGCGCCCAGATGACAGCGTTACATTCGTACGTTTAAGCCTGACGGAAGCGCTGGCGGATCGGCTCCGTACGGATGCGCGGGTGGCGTCGGTTCGGGCGATGGCGACGGAAGGCCTAACGGCGACGGCGGCCTTGGCGTCGTACGAGAAGGCGGCGGCGGCGGCATGGGAAACTGCTTCGTCGCCTGACGTACCGATGCCGCCCACAAAGGCCCTATGCCGGGAGCTCCCCGCAAAGGAGGACTTCCCTGGCGCGCAGTACAGGTACGGCAGATTCCGTACCACACCAGGATCCGGACTACTTCATGCATAACTAACTCACACTAGTGTGCAGCCGAAGGGTCTCCCACTCGCCCCAACGGCCTTCGTTTCGTGACATTTCATCGTGTATACGTGCCGTACATGTGTGCGCAGGCTGGCGGGCGATCGTTACGTGCAGGTCGACTACGGCCCGATGGCGCTCGATATCCGCCTGCGAGTGCGTGTGCACTGTCTACGGCGCGTGCTGGACGAGATGGCGGCGGCGGGGGAGCTGCCTGGACTTGTTGAGACCAGTCCGGGAGTACGATCGTGTATGGTGGAGTACGACATTGCGGCCATCTCCCCGGGCCGGCTGTTGCAGGTGCGTACGGTGGTGTGCTCGGATATGTAACGTGTGAGTACCTGCGAGTAAAGCCTATCCAGAAACTTTGTTGCACCTGGGGAATGTGCAGTGGAAAAAGTGGTGTCGTACGTTGGGGAGTAGTTGCACTTCCTCCCGTACAACAAGGCGATACCCGCCCCCGCACCACGCACCGCCACACGGCCCCAAACCCTAGTAGTAGCCGAGGGAATGAGAGTGAGCTAGAGGCTAAATATACCACTGATTGATGAAACCACACCACATTGTATTGTATTTCATTGTATTGTATTTACAAGGCCGTGAATGAGTTCAACGTGGTTTGGAAAAGGGGGAACACGTGCCGAGAACCCCCCTGTTTACACCCCCTCTCTCTCCCCCTTCAGGTACTGGAAGCTGCCGAGGCGCGCATTCCGGAGGTTTCTTCGATGGTGCTCCCGAGCCGCATCGTCAACCTGCCCATGGCATTTGACGAGCGATGGACCAAGGAGGCCATTGCGAAGTACATGAAGAGTGTACGACCGTCGGCGCCGTACCTGCCGGACAACATCGCCTACATCGCGGAAAACAACGGGCTGGCGGGTGGCAAGGAAGAGGTGCGTGGGGTAGTCAACTGCAACGACATCTGCCCATCTCGCTTTACAGTGCGGTACAGTACGATCAGTACGGTATTCGCGGGTGCTAAGTGAACTTTGAAGACTTGTAAACAGTATTCCACAACATTGTATAATAAATAAATTAGCATTAGGGTATTGCAACTTGTTTGAAATATTTTCCCTCTCGCTGACGGACCTCTGGTGTCGGCTTCCCGCGATAGTGCGACCGTGTATATGCACCGTGCAACACATATCATATCCATTCATGTTAGTCGCCTACTGTCCCCGCCCCCGCCCCCCCCGCTGACCCTGGCCCTGGCCCTGGCCCTGCCTCCCTCCCCTTGATACAAAATGCACTCAGGTTCGAGACAAGGTATTCTCCGCATCTTACTTGGTGCTTGGTCTGGGTGACGTGTACCTGGGCGCGCCCTGTGCCGTACCCATGGATCCACGTCACCGCCTGGTCACCACCAAGATGAACCCTGCCCGTACATTCACGGCAGAGGGCACCGTGGGAATTGGCGGGTCGTACATGTGCATCTACCCCATGGACTCCCCTGGTGCGCACTGGCCGGGGGGAGGGGGGGTTTCGTGCATTGCGTTTCTTAGGGCGCGGAGGGGAAGGGTTTTGGAGGGCCTTCCGTCGTGTGTTTGTTTTCATGTCGTCCAAATTTGTTCCACAGCGGAAGAGCAACACGGCGAGGCTTATTACTATCTCCCGCACTGCTACCCGGAGGTCGTCCGGTGAAGTACCCATGTCGTTATCGCCACCAGTGTCGTACTCATTTACAGCCTCCGGAATCGCGATCCAAACAGTGAACATAACAACTGTCAACGACCTGCAGGTGGTTATCAGTTGGTCGGCCGTACTCTGCCCATCTGGAATACGTTTGGGCGCAGCGGTCCCTTCACCCCCGCCAAGCCCTGGCTGCTGGACTTCTTCGATCAAGTGAGTCTTTGATCAGACGGGAGCGGCGGAGAGGAGCGGCGGAGAGGAGGATTGGGAGATGGGAGGGAACCGATTGAGAACTGCTGCGCAGCAGAGCTCGTGAACCGGGCGGTGCTGTCCTGATATCCGTGAAAACTTAACCAACTCTCCCTACCCCAACTCGGGCAACTGCCAACCGCCAACCAACAGGTACGGTTCTTCCATGTCACCGAGTCGGAGTTGGAGTCCATGCGGACAGGATTTGCAAACGGAACGTACGACATCGAGATAACGGCCACAACTTTCGATGTGTCGTCTTTCACTGCGATGGAGGCGGCTGTGGCTGCCGAGACTGCCGAGTTCAAGGTGGGGTCAAAGCAAAGTCCCGATTGGGGTGGACTGGCTGCCACTGCTGCCACTGCTGCCACTGGTCCCAAGACTCTCGCCCATGATATACCCCTAGTTCCACCCGGCCTTGCTGCCATAACCTCCAAATACTGCGATATTACACCGGTCTACACATCTTTTCTTCGCACATTATGATGAGGCTGCAGGCCAGATTCTTCTGGTCACTGCTTTCCGTGTATAATCGTCGAACCCCAAGCGAAGCTCCAATAGGACCGAACTGCAAACCCTAAGTGTGTCCTCCCTCCCCTGCTCCGCTTACCGAGCAGGCCAAGCAGAGAGCCGCCATGGACCACATGTTGGTGGCGGAGGCGGAGTCGCTCGCAGAGCTGGCGGAGGCGGCAGCAGCGGCGGGTAAAGACTCCGCGGCAGCGGCAGCGGCAGTGGAGGACGAGGACGACGAGTCCATGTACGACAAGCCCGGGCATGTTAAGGTGAGTTACGAAGCTGCTTGGCGTGCCACGGTTTGGACGGAAAAGGGGCTTGGGGGGAATGTCGGAGGGCGTGCGGCGAGGCGGGGCAGCATCGTAGGCACACAAGAGATCTTCAAGGAGGGCGTCATCGCTCCATAACCTAAGTTTAAGCAGCGGGCGGTGCTAAACCATCTACTACCATGTGCCGTGTGTGACCTTCTACCCCGTTCCCCCCACCCCACCCCGCGCACCCCCGCGCACAGGTTACGGCGGCTTTCAGCGCCAACGTGTGGGACGTGCGGGTTTCGGTCGGGCAAACCGTGGCGGCAGGTGACACGCTTGTCGTGCTTGAGGCCATGAAGATGGAGACACCGCTGACGGCGCCGGTGGCGGGTCGAGTTGTGGCGATACGCGCAAAGCTTTCTCAGCTGGCAGCGTCCGGTGATACACTTGTGGTGATTGACTCCTCTTCTGCATAACCTGGCCAAGCCTTACCAAGCTCTCGATATATTTGATATTTCCTGAATATTATATACGGGCTAGCAGAGAAGCGACAAGAATTAACTGCATTACGTTTCGAGGTGAACGTGCGTGATATCGGAACCGCGTGATATCGGAATTGCGATACTCAATTATGTGAATAAAACTATTAGGTGCAAGGCAGTCAGGTCAATTTGTAGTTCTTGACTGGCTGCGAATACAAACCGTTCGCGTCCCAACACCTTTGGCATTTGGAGGAATGGGTCTGGAAGGTGGGTTCGGAAAGTATGGGGAGTAGAACTGCTGACAGGGTCTAGTTTACTAGACCCTACAAACAAGGTATTGGGCAATCCAGTATTGTTAGTGTATACCGTTCCACTCGTGAAACAGTATACACTGTACAATACAGAGATTGTTTCTATATTGTTTCACGGATTTATGGTCGGTCCTGCTGAAGGGAGCTTGGAAACCGTGTTGGTTCGGTCGGCTGGTTTTATTTTGTGATTGTGGAAATTCGGGCAATTCCACGATTTGGTTCATCCTATTGCAGCGTATATGGCCTGACTGCTTTCCTGGTCAACAAAAAGTGGACGGGACATGTGTCCTAAACCACGATATAGAGGCTGTAGGCGACGCGATTGAGGCACGGCATGTGTGGGTGAGGTACTTTGCCTGGCACAATAATTTTGGCTGACGGTGATATTATCGCTCAGATGTGCCTGCCAGTCGTATGTGTCCGCTCGTTCTTTGGCGACAATTAGATTCGTTGGCACGTGCTGAGTTTTTTTCACACGATACCTCGGCCCGGCACGGGTTGTGGAGTGCAAGTAATACATGCTTCAACTCGGGCATGTACCTGTGTGGACGAGAGACTGCACGGAGCGTACGGCGCGACATCATTGCGTGCATGTTACATAATACTGTGATTTTCGACATGGTATGTTTTTCTTTGAGAGTATGAATGTGAGAATCCTCAAAGTCCCTTGGGGTCGCCTAGGGGGTTTGAACCCTCAAGGAGCCCGGTCACGGAGTGGATCGAAAACCCTAATGTGTGTAACATTATGCCTTCGGCTGCAGCTTGCTGTTGTTTACGCTGTATATATATTATGCAGACAGAAACCGCACACGAACACACGCACATTGTGTCACCGTTTCACGGCCCGAATCACGAGAGAAACCTGCCTCGACGCAGCAGCAGAGCGCAGACGGCGCCGTCTCGCACACTGTAACGGGAGGGGGGGGGCGACACCATCAGCTAAAGATAGGGGACCAGAGGCGCATGAAATTAATGAGGTACGGCTCCAAGCAAATGGATACGGGATAGGTAAAACGATATGAGAATGATGCGAGCTGAGCTGGGGGGGCGGCTTTTGGCCTACGTGTTTGTTGTTTGCTGTTAGGCCTTCTGATGCGGATGAAAACCCACACTCGGACTGTCAGTACAGGTGGCCCTTCTGCCGAAACAGTACTTATATGCGGGTAAGTTACTGACCGACAGATGGAATGGTGGATTTCTGGGAAGCGAGCAGGCCCACCTCTCCATCCCTCCCCTCCATATTCACCCCACCTTGGGGAGAGATGATCGCAGCCTCCCTCCCTCATCCCTTTCCCATCCTGCATGTCTCCCTCCCTTGACTGCGCTTGACTAATAACAGCAGTTTGGTGTCCTTAGGTTATGTCGGCAGGTTACCCTTCTTGCATCGTGATCATCATAGGATCCTTCCCTTTCCCTTTCCTCCCTCCCTCCACTTCTCCATCCATCTCCCCTCGCGCTTCAGTGTCCCAGGCATGAAGAAATGGCATGAGGTTTTTATGGGGTTTACGGGTTTTTTTCAACGAGTTCAGGTAAAACCTGCAAAAACATGTGTTTGGGCCCCCCCCCACTCGTGATCAAAGATTCGGGTCAGTTCATGCAAAAAAGCACGATAAGCGTCCTTTTGAAATACGTTATCCATGGATACTCGCTGTGGGCGGTGCCTCAAAGATTTGCTGTCTATTGATAAGTTTGGAATTTTGATTTGATTACATTGGTTACACTTAGGTTTTAGGTGCATGGCCCCCATGCATCAGGCTTTACAGGCATCCAGTCAAACCCATGGGAGCCTAGTTAGGCTAATAAACTCCAAAATGCTTGTAAGCCTGATGTGTGTGTGTGTGAGCCATGAAGCTTACGGAGCACCGGATCAACACCAGCAACTTCCGTAAAGAGGTGCATCCAGGACGAAAGCGTGCTTCGGGGCTATGAGCCTCAACAAGCAAAAACTCCTGCGCGAGCATTAATGAAGAAGCCCGCCAAAGCAGTACAGAGGACCAAACCAGAGTGCATCCATTCCATGCACAGAACAGTGAACTCATGCCCCATCACTCATAAAGAAAACCAACTATGATCAATGACGTTCTCATAGCAACCTTGCATGTAATCCTCATTACTGTATTGCCGCTATCCTTGCCCTCCCGAGAGAGCCCGAGAGAGCATAGGGTCAGATGCATTTGTACAGTTTTCCGGGGAAAACATTTCCTGCGCCCTGAGGTCTGGCTATGATTCAATTAACCCAACAAAGCGATATGACACAACATGCATACTGCCCCGCCCAAGCTTCGTCGCCATCGCTGCAGGGTCGTGGTGAGATGGCGGAAAGGATACGCAGCCCTCTGACACGCCCCTCGCCGCCCTATACCCAGAGTCATCCTTATAGCCCAGACACATATCCAGAACTTAAAACTACCCGCATGAAGACACAACCCGACCGTAAGACGACGGGACAGCAAGTGCGGAGAGGAAGAAGGCCCTTCGCATCCATCACCATTATCCCCACTTTTAACAGGTACAAGGACGGTCTCCGTCCCAGGCCTACACGCCGCGGATACAACGCATAGCACCAGCACCATAACCCACAACCAGTCGAGCAACCGTTGAGACTAAACCACCAGGACCACGACCGACATTTTTCCCATTGGTCACAGAGAAACAGCGCACCTAAGCTCTGCCATGCAGGGCACCAGCACAGAAAGCCGAGCAACGATTGGGGCTGCCGCTTCCCACATCTGAGCTTAGGAGGGATTCCGACTCAAAAAGGAGCTCCAATTCGCTTTTTGTGTCGCTGCACGCGACAGAACAGAAGCCACCCGCTCCTCAGCCTCCTCCCACTGCTGGAAGCCATCCACAGTGTTGACCCTTTGCTTCTAACATCCTACAAGTTCCTGCCCTCACTCCCCTCACTCCCCGCTCCTCAGCCTCCTCCCATCTTGCGTGTGCTGGACATTGATGGCATGGAATAAACCCCCCACACACAGTTACGTGCATGTGTCACCACGTTCCTCATTTTGAACGCCCTTGAAAGGTTCTTACACGCGCGGGGACACATTAGGGCTGTAAAGCATTGCAGTCGAGAAACAGATACTACGGAGAAGCCAAAAGGAAAGCGAACCACATCCGCAATAAAATAAAACGTACTTTTGTGTTATTGTTGTTGTTGTTGTTGTCAGCACTGAACGGCTCTTACAACAACAAGACAGCACTGGACGGCTGGCTAGTCGGATAGCGCTCTTTAGGCTTGCGGATGACGCTGCTGCAAGGACTACAGGCTATGTTGGATACCGATTCCAGAATATACCGTTATTATTATTACTACTACGCATTATTCTGGCCTCATATGCATGTGTCTCTCTCTCTCTCTCTCTCATACACACACACACATACACACGTACACACGCGCGCGCACACACACAAGTTGACAGACCCCACCTAGCAGCACTTGCTTTCTTGCCGCTTGCCTGAGGGCGTCATGTCCACATCCACACAAGGGCCGCCGGCGCACAGAGACACCCAGAGATGGCGACCACATGGAGAGAGAGGCAGAGAGGTGTGGGACGGCAGGGCGAGGCAAATCACTCGCCAGTGTCACTATGTAGTGAACGCATGATGAGACGACAAACCACCGCACACAAACCATGCATACGCCGCCTCCTTAAAACACAAGGCACAAACCTGGTCTGGAGGCCGTGAGGAGAGAAAACAAGTGTGAACGATTGGAGCACACTACAGAATACTGCAAACGGATACCACAAACAAACATGTCTGCAGAGAGTCGTGTCTAACCGCACCGCTTCGCACACCTCCGAGCAAGTGGGAGGCATGAGGACATCCATCCTGACCATGGCACAGTACCGTACTGCACCCGTACGGCAACCGCCACGCACTCAGCCAAATTGATACAGTCCGCCCAACCTGCCATCAAAGCACAGCCTTCTCTCCACGAGGCACCCAACGCCGTCCGTCCCCCCCCCCACACACACTTGTGGCTGGAATGGGCTGGGGGCCAAGAGTCGGTGCGGGGGGTATTGGAGTATCCGCCGCCATTTCTCGGGACTTCTAGGACCCGACAGCAGCACGTATGTGGATAACACCACCTCGCACCTCGCACATCACAATTGTGCCGATGCGCACATCTTTCTTCCCAAGGAGCACACAGAGGAGAGTACTTTTGTCACCTCCAGAGTGTCATGTCGCTCACAGGGGGCATCAGGAATCACGTCCTGTACAGCATCGCACAAGTCATGTTAACCACTTTGCCTTTCCACCTGCGCGACAGTCATACAGCATCCGTATTGCAGCTGAAACAGCCGCCAAAGACCACCATGCGTTCTTGTCCACCAGCTTGTCATTACCAGGCTTCTACAGCGGCTGTAGAGTGGATAAGCTCACCGTGCCGCCGTGCTTCCTTCCTAGGGTTAAGGATTACCCTCCTTCCTTTCATCTACCCCACCGCGCATCATGCATTTGCTCATTACCTGGTCCCCGATGTACCCACAAGATATATATATATATATATATATATATATATAAATTTGCGGAGGGGTACGACTCCACCCAGGTAGTCGCCCAGTTGATCGCTGGGCGATTCATCCATGTACTTGCCGTGTACTTGCAGGTGCGACACCGACTCTGCACAATCTGCGGCTAAAAGGCCCCTCCCTCGCACTATCCCTCTTCCCCTCTACGCCACCTTCAGAGAGGAACAGCTCGGTACTGATCTCTTTTCCGCGCACGAGGAAATGGCGGCATCCCGCTCCCCAGTGCCAGTGCCTCGTCGCACCCAGATCTAACTCCGAGAGCCCCAGGTACGCTGGCGCCGTCACGCTTATGTGTAACCCTGTACGTAAACCTGGACCTTCCTGACCTTGCACGCCTGCATTCCACCGTGGCTCTCCCACACACAACATCCCCTGACACCCCCCTTGCATTTCCTCCAAGCCTTTCCCCCGGCAACACCTTCCGCCTCCCGTGACCAACCGCAAAATGACTTGTATGCTGAACCGAGCAGAGCGGAACAGCGCAAAGCAGAAAAAGCACACAGCGCGATTCCTGAGCTCCCCTTCTGCAGCCCTAGCTGATGTCGAGGGAGCTAGTTCCGGAGCGCCTGCGTTTGTGCAGTCCGAGTCCCCGGCCCAGACCAATGGCTTCCAATGCGGGCAGCGGCAACTCTGAAGGTGGCGTCTGCACTGCGCACGCCATTTCCTCGTCCGCGTCCTGCTGCAGGTGCATGTGTTGGTGCTGCTGACCCCTGCATTCCCCCTCTCCCAAGAAGCCCTGATGCCCTCCCGCTGAGGAGGAAGGCAACCGGGGACCAGCTGCACCAAGGACGGGCGCCCCGGCGTCACTGTCCCCGCAGCCTGCATCCGCATACAGCTGCTGAGCAGCCGCAGCGGTCCTGAGCTGCGGGTGATGTTGTGGCTGCTGCGGTTGGTACTGGGGTTGCTCCGGAGGTAACGGAAGACGTGGTTCCGGCCCTGGTGCTGCTGGCTGCAGCACCGGACGGCTGGCATCAACCAACTCGTCTTCCTCCATTTGGTCGCCATCATCATTGCCTTCGTGCTGTTGCTGTTGCTGTTGTTGATGGCGTAGGTGGTCAGCAGGCTGGCGGTAATCATGTTGCAAACAATGTGAAGCTGGAACCCGTTGCCCCGTCTGTTGCTGCTGGCGCCCGTGGTGTTGTGGTTCACGGTGGCGACGGGTTTCCGGGTTGCCACCATTGGGGCCTCCGCTGGGGCCGCCACTCCCATCACCCTCCACCACCGCTCCCCCCAAGCCACATTGGGATTGGGTGCCACCGCGGCGACACGCCGCTCTGACACCCCCCTCCTCCTCTTCCTCCACACCCTCGGCTTTCCGGAGCGTCAAGCCGCCGCAACGCGGCCCCTGGCAACCATCACGCTCAGCAGCTGCGTCATCCCCGCTGGCGTAACCCAACATGTCGTCGTCCGTATCCTGCTGCTCATCTTCTTCCTCGTAGACAAGGCCTCCTGCGCTGTCGCTGCCTCCGCCGCAGCTGCCGCCTGCGCCGCCGTCGGCCAGGCGGCGGCGCGCCGTCATGCCGCAGGCCTTTGGTCCTGAATCTCGCCGGCGGCATTGGAATTCAGGATCCGCTTCATCGACGGCGGATTTTGGAGGTGACGAACCGAAAGGTGAGCCCGTGTCCTGGGGTGCAGATTGAAGAACATACGGATGATAATACGCATAGCGTGCGTATTTATACACACAAGTTCAACTAGTAAAGTGACAGAAGAATTCCGTGAGGGATATTTTGGAGGAAAAGGAACACATCATAACCAGGTGAAGGATATCGAGAGGAGGAGAGAACCGACCCACCTGCCCCTCCTCCACCTCCTCTTCGTGCCCCGCTCCGTCGTCGCGCCCGCCGGCCTTGGCCGCAGCCGCTGCGGCCGCCGCGGCCTCCCGGCCGCGCTTCCGTGCACCGCGCGCTGTGCCCGCCTGGTTCCTATACGCGCTCGCACCCGTGAAGGCCGTCATGTTGAGGTTGACCGTGTTGGACACCACCTCCTCACTATTCGCGTCGTCCAGGTCCGGGCCGTCAGGGCCCTGATCGCCACCTTGGTCGCCGCTGATGGCGCTGACACCATCACCCATGCGACGCCGCGCCAGCAGCATCTGCATGGCCTGCTCGAACGCATAGGCCGCCGTGCCGCCCTGCAGCATCTGTTGCTGCTGCCACAGCGCTACAGCCTCCTCGTCTGCATCGCCGGCCTCAACACGGCCCGCCCAGGCCGCGGCAGCGGCTGCGGCAGCCGCTGCAGCCGCTGCGGCGGCGGCCAGGGTGGTGTCGGCGCCTCCATCCGGCGGCATCCCCTGACCCGCGTTGTGCTGCTGGAAGTGCTGCTGCTGCGGCGGAGGCGGCGGCATTTGCTGAATCTGATTCTGGTAATGTGGTGGCGGGCGGTCCGTGCCGCTGCCGTCCTGCTGCCGTACAGTGGCGGCGCGCGTACGACGCTGCTGCTGAAGTATCTGCTCCAGCACCTGCTGGCCTGCCGCGTCGCCGGGGTGGTAATAAACACCCCCACCAGGCGCTGGGGCGAGAGCTTGCGGCGGTGGCATCCCACCAGCAGCCAGCTGCGACACGGGGGCCGAGCCAGGCGCTCCACCGCCGCCGCCGCTACCGCCTCCGGCACTGCCGGACGGGGCGTCACGCCGTACACGTTGTCCCGACACGCCGCCGCCATCCTCCCGCATGCCTGCTGAGCCACCGCCGGAAACCCAACCGCCACCACGGCTACCAGAACCTGCCTGTGCCTGCTCCGGCGCAAGCCCGCTGGCACTGCCGTACATGTGCGGATTCTGTCGGGATCCCGGCGCACTGCCGCCGTACGTACCGCCGCCGCCGCCAGTGCCTGTAGGATTAGCTCCAGAGCTCGCGCCAGCGCCTCCCATCGCGGCGGGGTAGGTGGGCGCCCGGTAGGGGTATCTGCCGCTGCTTTCGCTGGATTGCGCCACGACGCACTTGTCCAGGACTGAGCAGGCGTACTCCACGTTGACTCGTGCGTCGTTGTGGGAGATGATGGGTGCCGGGTAGTTGCAGCCCAATTCCACGTCAGCAGCGGCAAGCACCTAGCAGGCAACAGATGGTGGTGTGATATAGCGGGCTTGTCTGTATCGGAACAATCGCTGATTCTGTTCACACATACACACTTACACGTGCACGCAAGCTATACGTGCACCACCCATTGCCATTTCTCTCATTACTTCACAGAAGCCGCCATGGACGCGAGGGAGGAGAGGGAGGAGGGAGGGCGCCCCGGGAAGCTAGGGGGACTGCCAGAAGGCTAGTGGCCACACACGGGTAAAGTATAACCCCTACACTTTGCACTATCATAAACACTTAAGTCAGGAAAGCAGCCAGGGGAGTTGTCAGCTCCGAAGTTCTCACACACACACACACACACAAACACACAGCGCCTCATCTTGGACCGCCACCCTCTCAGACCTGCGGAGGCGCCTTCCAGGGGCCATGGATGTACTCGGTGGGCAGGCGGGACAACACGGGCAGCCACCGCCGCACATACTCTCCGTCGGGGTCGAACCTGCGCGCCTCCTTCTCCAGGTCCATCATGTAACTGAAGGGATGCGCATCTGCAACAAGCGGGTGTTGGGGTGTTGGGGGTCCTCTACCAGCAAGCGCTCTCTATCTTTCCGTCCCTCTCTGTCTGTCTGTCTGTCTGTCTGTCTGTACGTATGTATGTGTGATGAATGGGAAAAAGGTTTTGCACGCGCCACCTTGGTTAAAATAAAGGGCTGCGATATATGGTTCGTGTTTGTGATGTTTGTGACGTGGGTGTTTCCTCACCGAGGCGGCGTGAGGAGCGGGGTCAAGGTGATGATAAGGAAAGGAACGCAAGACCGTAGCCACATGTACAGCCAAACACACAGACAGAAGAGGTTGTGTTTTATAATAATGCGAGCCACGAGAAGAGAAATGCCGACGGTGGCACATAAATAACGAAAAACTTTATCGAAGCGAGCTCTGCAGTCCAGCGCCGTGTTAGACAGCTCGAAATAAAAAAAAACTGTTGGACATATGTGTGTATGCGTGTGTGGAAATCGGCGCACAGGGAGGAACCTCCATTACATACAGACTACACAGCTCGGAGTCCCCAACTACAGGTCCACCCACTTCAGCCGCCCACCTTGTGGTTCACATCATCATGCACCTTTACGTAAGACCATTCTCGCAGGCATTCCGTCTCCTAATTAGGCCGATGTCCGCCGTCCTAATATATGGGCAAAAATGTTTTAGGAAAGCCCCCATCCACCCATCCACCAACGCACCGCTCATGCCACCGCTGACGTACTGCCAGCCCAGCGCGTCGCACTCCAGGTCCGCATCGATCTGCGCATCCCAGTAGTGCTTCAGCCCCCACTGCCAGGGCAGCAGCAGGTTCTTCACGAGGAAGGAAGCCGCCACCACACGTGCGCGGTTGTGACACCACCCGCTGCTCCACAGCTGCCGCATGGCCGCATCCACGATGGGGTACCCGGTCTGGCCCTGGCGCCAAGCCTGAACACATTTGCATAACGTATGTCAAGAAAAAGGGGGAAGGGGCGGGGCGGCGTTGAGAACGATGTCACCATGATATCACCATGTCACATCCGAAAGCGAACCAAAGGAGGACGCTTTTCAAGGGGAAAGCACATCAATCCTGCACAAACAATTACACCAAGGATAAAAATAATAACAAGTTAACAAGAGGAATATAGATACATGTGACGTCCAGATAGAAAAGATGGCAATATGATTGCAAAATGAGCTTATGCATGACGGGAAAAGGAGGAGGACGGGAGGAGGAGGGGTGGAAGAGGCAACAAGCGCGCACGCGACACACAACTTGTACAATACCTTGAAGGCATGCTGGTCGATTCTCCAGGGACAGGCCCGCAGGTGGCGCAGCAGGGAGCGCTCGTGTATGAAGGGGAAGTGGAAGGACAGGTATCGCGAGTATTCCCGGTATCCCACCTGACCATCATAGGGTTGACATACATACATACATACATACATACATACATACACACGCGGAGGGAGGAGGAAAGGTGGGCGGCCGGGCAAATCTTACATGCAAGAAGCAAAGAATCAACTGAATGGCGGGGAGAGGGCGCGGTTTGGGGCCGTCCCAAGGGGGGTCCCCCATGGAGAGGAGCGGTGCGGGGTAACCACAGAGAACAACAGGCGACGGACGGCACTCAGAGCGGTCAAGGGGGTTCCCAAAAAGGGGGTGGCGCAGGCAGTAAGAGCTGGAAAGCTCGTAAGCATGTGGTTGGGGATGGGGAGATGCGGCAGTTGGAGAGGGGAGGGGAAAGAAGGAGAGGGAGGGGAAGAGACGAACCACGAACGAGGGAAGCTGCTGCTGAGGGGGGGGAGAGAGAGGTGCAAAAGCGTGAGAGCAGTTGAAGGCAAAACGGGATCCAATCCGTCCCTTCGTCAGTTCGCCTGTTCGCCAGTCCAGCCAAGCCCACCATCGACAGTCATTTCATTGACCTTGCATGTAATCCCAACCCCACAACCGTCATTTTCCCCCCTCTACCCTGGACTATCCGTCTATCTCTGGTATCTGCTTCATTCGTCAGTGGTTCGTCTTAAAACCACCCTCTACCCCGGTCCCTTCCCACACACACCTGCTGCAGGAAATCATCACAGGAGCGAGTGCGGTCCACACCGGCTGCCAGCCACTCCGCCTGGCACTGCCGAATCTGCGGGGTGGTGCGGGTGCGGGTGCGGGAGCGTGGGAGCGGTGAGGAACGTATGCAAAGGGTCAAGCGCCAACGCCCCCTGGTGATGATCTCGTGTGTGTGTGTGTGTGTGTGTATGTGTGTGTATATGTGCGAGGGCGGGGGTAATATGTCATGATGCAAAGTCAAGAAGGGAAAACAACTGCCTCTTGACCTCCAAGGTTACAAAATGCCGTAGGACTTGTCCTACTGCACGACACACGTCATGCTGGGGCGGCACACATGACATGATGTTGGGGAGCTTACCGTGGGGGCATTTGGAGGATTGCGCATTTCAACGATAGAGGAAATCTGTGTGTCGAAATTACGTAATATATTATTATGATGATGATAAATATTTTATCATTATAAATGATCTTAAAAACGGGCCCCACGGATAGCCTGGGACACCTTCAGGCGACACCCGAGCGCCTGACACCCACCCACACGCCGTCAGGATGGGGGGAGCGGACTGAGAGCGGTAACCTGGGTAACTTGAGAGCGGTAACCTTTTCCGGCCCTGCCCTGCCCTGCCCTGCCATGTCACAGCCCCCAGTGGCTACAGCGATACCACCCACACGCGCCAAACTGAAACACGTCCAACATCCTACCCAGCTAACCGCTAACCGCAATACAATCACCCACCCACCCACCCGATAAGGAGGACATCCACACCTCCATGCTCACCCTGTAAAAGATGTATCGTACGCTGATGCTGCCGATGTGGATCCACGGTGACAGTCGCGAGGTGGAGTCCCGGTCCACTTTGGCCCGGTCATGCTCGAACACGTGCAGCCGCTCAGTCACGAAGCGCTCCAGCTCTGCTATGGCGCCGCCCACTCCGGGCTTCCACTGGAAATTGGAATGTTATCAAGCATGGACGCGCGCGCACGGCAACGAGAAACCGGGATGTGGCGGGTTGAGGAGGGCCGGGGAGGGATGCGGCGGGGTGGGGCGGGATGTGGGGGGTTTGGGGAATCATCTTATGCAAGGTCCACATGGGAAACCGGCCAACAAGGCGAGAGGTTCGTTCGACAAGTAATAGTGCAATATGTATGAGTGACCAGTGCAAAAAGTCCATCATAGACTTTTAGGCCTTTGAACTTTTATTCTTTCTAAGTAGACGCAGCCATGGTCCCCATTCCTTGCTCCTCTCTTTCACCTGAACTCTCCTTCCCTACTTATTGCTTTTGTACAACCTTGTATGCATCCTGTACGATGGTAACTTGCCAATTTCCCCAAAACTCCCCCTTTTAGTGCATTTCATCAAGGATGGATGGATGTTGGGGTGAAGGATGTCAATCGGGGCAAAATCCACACCCATCGCCCCCGCCCCCCTCACCTTAAATTTCAGTTGGTCGCTGGACGCCTCCTGCTCCGCGGTGAAGAACCAATCTACCTCCGAAACCATCAAGGACGGCACGAAGGCCGGCACGGGCGGCATTGCAGCTGGCGCCGCCATAGGGAAAGGCGGCGGTACTGTCATAGCCCGGACGCTGTGAGTACACGTATGTATATAAACGTATGTGTGCATCCACGGTTTGAGTCACAAGGGAAAATGCGAGGGGTACGGGAAAAGGCGCGGGGGAGTTATATAGCACACGGCCAAGGGGAAAAAAAGGGAGGCAGCCCCAACATGTGAGTGGGGATGTAGAGAATGGGTGTGGGGCCGGCAGGTGGCGTGTACTACGCCATCATAGCTGGGTGGCGATGGCGGCCCTGTACTAATCCTCCGGGGAAGGGGGGTCATGTGACGCTGCAAGAAACACAATTCAATCAACTACCGACGTGTCTCTCAAAGCCGCCCCGACATCCGGCTGAGGGAGGCTGGAGCAAGCCTGACATGGGTAGCACCGCAGTTGTACGCTAGAACCACGTTAGACGTGACCCACATGGGAAATCGATGGATGCCCCCGAGTACCTGTTCCAGAAATCGTCAAAGGTGGAATAGGGCTGTTTATTGACGTCCAGGACCTCCCAAGGCTCATATAGCATGTCGCCATTGAATGTACGGTGCGCGACACCCGCTGCCGCAAGGCCCCGTTTGCAGTCGTGGTCACGCATGAGGCTGATAGGGTCGTACAGGTGGTTGAAAAAAACAGCCTCAGCCCGCACTTCTCCAACGACCTTCAAGAGCTCTGCTGTGGAATCCGTGGACCGTCGAATAATGAGGCGGCTCCCAAGCGCGGCGAGTGCCTGCTGCAGGTCAACCAGCGAGTGCTTCGTCCACCAGCGACTGCAGCGTCCAGGCTGGAACTGTCCTTCTTCCTCAGGTGCCCATATGAACACAGGTATCTGCAATTTACATGGTCCCATGTTGCCGCCACAAGAAATGAAGGAATCCCAAAGCAACAACCCCCGGAATCCTCCCTTTCCATAATTACGCATAAGCCAACGAATGGTGTTACCTAAAGCATCCTAGCTATGTACATATGACGAGCATTAATGCGAAACCCTAAGTCGATGGCTGAAGCTGAGGACTATAACTAGAGAGCATGGTCCGAGTGCTGCAGTCAGGCATATATCCCTGATACTTTACAGCCCTGAAATATCATCCCTAAGATGAGCATACCCAAGGGCGCTGTGACAGCTGCTTCTCACCACAGTTGCGGCTGCGTTGAGAGCAGCTTCAAGAGCCGGGTTATCGTCCACCCGGAGGTCTCGCCGGAACCAAACCACTGCAGTCTGAAATTCATAATTGGCTGGGTGTCGCTCAACAGGCTCCATTTCTCCACGGTGTCTCCACGATGGCTCCAGTCACAAAGCTCTTTGCGGTTCAATTCCTCGATACAGCAAAGTCGGAAGATTTGCTTTAATAAAAATCTAAAAATACTGTGACGGCCGTTGAGTGCACATGCCAGCCTTAGCCTGCGTCCATGCCGTCGTGAAAAGGTGCGGCTGCACGAAACAAGGGAAACGTATAATCCCTATGTGAAAAATAACAGATTTCACGGGCTGGAGCAGTTGTCTGGGTGCAGTTGGTGCATTTTCGACAATATCACCCGTCAGTCGTTACTCAGAGGCAGAAATTGCAGTAAATTAATGTGTACCCTGTTATCGTTAGCTCTGGTAACAGTAGCATGTGACCTTTGGGAAATTGCAGTGCATCTGCGTGACAACAGGATCCTCTGCGCTTACGAAATCCTGTCGTGCTAGCGGTACAGGCGCAGCTTTGCATACTCGGTTTCACTGACCGATCCATAATTACTACTGTCGTCCACATGCAGTAACGTTGTAATCCGCGCTGCCGTGCGAAGGACATTTCATCCGCGTGCCTGCCGATGGCCCAGACCTGCTTGCTGCGTCAGAGGTATAGACTACTATAACGCCATGAATGTCCTTAGTTTCAATGCCTTAAAATTTACCATATGCGTCTCGCTCGCTGCAGGCACAGAAGCGGGTCCTTCCCAGCGACGTCCCCGCAGCAACTCTACACCAGCCAGCAGCTGGCCGTGCCGCGTCCCTTCACCCCAGCTCTACACCCCAGAACATTCCCCCTTCCGGCAGCTCACCGAACCACCCAACTCTGCGTCCCAACCGCGCTGGCTAACCTACCTGCTACACGCGCTGCCACAACAGGACACATACGCACTATCCACAGCTGCGCAGCGGCGGGCGGCATGGGTCTTGCTGCTCCTGAACCGGGGAATAGCGCTGCCCATCCCCAGTACTCATCAAGTCCGCATTCCAGTCCCACAGACTACTGCCGTACTACTGCCGTACTGTCTACTCTTAATGAGCTGGTGGGCCCAGTGAATGACACCGGTAATGCCGGCCCTTTGTTGTGAGTGCCCTGCTCTTTCCTTTCACTGAGGCTGGAACAGCTGTCATTATACACACATATACATCATTTGCTGACATTTAGCCTAAGTGAACTACCTGTCTTCGTGATCCACGCTACATTAGTGGACCATCTTTCACAGCTTGTTCACCGAGACACGCAAACACGTTAGTACACTGTTGACGTGGATGAGGATGTCTCATTAAGCCACAGATACTTCTACCTCTCCTCTCCTCCAGTACTCCGCACTCCTCACACCCACCTCAACGCCTCTCGCCCCAACAGACAAAGTGGGCAGTATCCGCCGCGGTGTTCGCGGTGCTGGTGATGCGGAGGGACCTGGCGGCGGCGTGGTGCGTGCTGGGATCCATCCTGGCGTCCTTCCTCAACAAGGTACGGCAGTACGGCAGCTACAAGGGGGGATGTAGTGAACAATGAAGGAGGAGGAAATGAGGGGGGTATTGGAAAGGGCAACGAGCAAGGGGGGAAGCCATAGCTCAGAGGTACACGTTGCAGCTGCTATCTTGGCAGGTATCCTTCCAGTTTTCAACCTAAAAAGGTTCACACAGCTAATCCAGTTTTTAACTTGGAAGGGCTATTAAACTCCCCATTCCACCCTCCCTGGGTAGCTCTCGCCTCATAATTATAAGGGCTGACAATGCTGGCCTTTGCTCCTCTTGAAATCTGTTGAGTTGACCACCAATGCGCTGTCCGTCCATTACCGGTGTCCCCGTCCCCGTCATTGCCTGGTTTATCTACGTGATCCTACACTACCCACCTTAACAGGCACTTAAGTACGTCATTAATGAGCAGCGGCCCCCAAGCGCGCGAAAGGCTGACCCGGGAATGCCATCCTCACATGCAAACAGTAAGTTCTGCGGCTGCGGGGCATTTCGTGTCAAGTGGGTGGTGGTCGTGGGTGAAGCATTGGCGCTTTGGCTCGAGTGAAATGGTGGTCCTCTCGTTCGCAGGTCTCGCATTCCTAGGCGTTTACACGGCACTGGCGCTGGCACGTGAGTCCCCGCCGCCGCTGGGCCCCGGCTCCGTCGCTGCTGCTGCCATACTAGCGCTCAGCTTGTTCCTGGTGAGCAGTGATTTTTTTTCATTTAGGGCAGGTCTCAATTTATTCCAACCTAAGTAACAAAGTTGCTAGGGTCGTCGTAATTTATTCCTTAAGTGTGAGGCTCCGGCCCCCCCAGACCCCCCCCGATAAGTTACAACTCCCATCGTAGACCCCAAGAGAGTCACGCACTGAGTTGGCGCGTTTTCGTTCATGTGCGCACTCTTCGCCGCTGGCAGCAACAACAACAGCACCGCCATCCCAAACGCCGTTATCAGAAAAATTTTAGGATTATCTTGCTGTTTTAGTGTCTGTTCGACATTCAAGTCATTGCCTTGTGCGTGTTTGGCTATGTGAGGACCGGTCATACATGCTGCTATGCCGCGTTGACTCATGGGCTTGACCTTCTTACGGCCCCTCATATCTATTCTATGATTGAAAATACTAAGCTCTGCAAACTACGGAGCAATCTGGCAGCAATGGGCGTTTTTGGCTGGAGGAATGAAAATGTACGGGTCAGCCTCAATTCATTCCAATTTTTCCAAAAGCCAAAATGGCTGTTTATTCGTTTTAAGGAATATATAACTTAAAAAACGCTGCTGGTGAGTCCGCTCACAATGCAGCTTGGCTCGGCTTTCGGCCCCTCCCTGGGCTGGCTGCTTGGGAAGCTTCAGTGACCACTGCGATGTGTTGTTGTACACATACATACACACATACATACATACATATATATACATACATACATACATACATACATACATACATACACATATACATACATACATACGCGGGGGAGCACTGCGCTGCGCGGAGGCGGTGGACATCACGACCTAATGGTCAAGCGGACGCGGCGGGAGCTGGAGTATAGGGGATAAGGGGATAGGGTGTCGAGGCGCGGAGGGGGGATTTGAGGTGGTGGGGGTGGTAGGGAGGTCGAGAGGGAGGTTAAGGGAAAGGTTGCGAGGGGGGGGATCAGGGATGGGGCTTGGGGGGGTGCCGCGCAAGGGGAGATGGGGGAGGGAGGGGTCCTTTGCCTGGGGGAGCCGTACCGGCGGAGGGGGGGGAGAGACCGGGGAAAGGGCGGGGAGAGCCGGGGGGGGAGGGGAAGATGCAGAGAGAGCACCAAGAGGATGTAGGGCTGAGGGGTGGTGAGTGGAAACAGGTGGCCGTAGCGAGAGCGCGGATGAGGGGGAGGTGGGCACCCAGGAGGGGCCGTACTCGAAGGTGCGTGGTGCAGGACTAGGTTCTTCAGGGTACGAGACCGGGTTTCGCGTGTTGCGGCGTCTAGGTGAGATAGGATCTTGGAAACCAGCCGTCTTGGTAGAGCGGTAATGGGGGGGCGCCGAGCTGGCTACCCTCCCCCCCTGTGGTTTTCGGAGGCTTGATCGCCCGGCGTTGCCGCAGGGTCTTCCCGTTTGAGTACTTTTCAAGTTAGACCCAGTGCTGTGGAAGGGCGCGGACTTGTGCGGTGTTATCCCCCCGACGGGTGCTATCTCCCCTGGACTAGGCCAGGGAGGGAGAGGCGGAGGAGGGTAGTAGTCTCAGGAGGTTGTTTGGCGTCTTGTGGTGTGAGCTCTTTGCGCTCTTTTTTGAGTGAGGATTTTTGAGTTTGGTGACCTCCCCAGCCCGGGATGACTCGTCGGGCTCCCGGTCGCCCAGGTCCTGGATGCGAGCTCTCTGAGATGCTCGATTCGTTCGGTCGGCAGGAAGAGCCCCCCAGTTGCGACTTCGTTTATGTTAGGAGACCAGCGGGCATAGATCCCGTCTAGTTGGAGCGCCAAACGAGCACTGTTGCGTGCCGGCCGTCGTTTCCCGTGCGGCCTGACCCGGGGGCGGGTTGCATGAGACTAACCAGCCGTATGCACCCGGCCCCCGCGCTGTGTTTCGGCCCTGGGCCCCCGGCTTTTCAGCCCACAGTGTAATCAACGTCATACATACATACATACATACATACATACATACATACATACATACATACATACATACATACATACATACATACATACATACATACATACATCATATTTCTGTTTTTCGTTTCTCTTTGTGTGTATCTGCTGCTGTTCGGCATCCTAGCTATGTGGACACCCGCGAAATCCTGACCACCACCATTCAATCACGCGAGGGCCACATCCATTACCTCAAACCCGACTCCACCCCTGACTTATAGCCCCAACTGATCTTAACCGCAGACGTGGCTCCGAGTGCGGTTGGGATATCACACAGTACCCCAGGTGGCGGTGGGTTATGGCCTGGGCGCCGCCACCGCCGCCACCTGGCACCAACTGGGGGTCCAACATGCTTTGGAGTCGCTGGCGACGCGGCCGGAGCAGCGGATGGCGCTATACGGATGTACGGCACTGGCAGTGGTGCTGTTTGCAGCACGCAACGTGATGGCGTGGGTTAAGGAGCGGCACGTCTGCGGTGGCACGGATGAGGCGGGCTTGAGTGGGGCCGAGGCGGCGCTAAAGCTGAAGGCAGCATGAGAGTTAATATTAGGCAGTATTGACGTCACTTCGAACGCACTGATGCGGGGTGCGGATGGCCGCGGTGTAAATCTGTGACAATAGGGTTCGAGTGAGCTCTGTGAACCGGCTGGGTATGTACTTAGCTTGCTTCCAGGGCGACCGCACACACGCACACATATTTACACATATACATAAACATTGACGTGGCACGGAAATCTTATGACAGTAATCATTATGACGTACAACAACAACCACAACCACCGTTTGGTGCACAACTTCCATGGCATGAGTCATGTAGCTGCTGTACGAGATTACACACGATAGGGCAGAAAAAGGGGACTCGTAAAAGGGGGCCACAGCTTTCAAGATCCGATATTGCGTTTCACTGTGATCGTAACACAAACAGACAGACAGACGCGCAAACGGCAAACCAACGCGCGCAAGGCCCACTCTCTGACGCACTGCCCTCAGGGTTCTTCACCAGGGTACCCAAAAATTTCGGTCGTGTCCGAAACCCTCTGAATAACCTTTCGGGGCCCTCCCCGAAAATTTTCCTGTCAGCCTGACCGTGTTTTCGGGCACCCCGGAACTGTCTGAAGCGGTTTTCGGGGTAAATTTTAGCTGGATTCTATCGTAATATGCTCGGACGGCTGAATTAACAGGTGTTTGACTTTATTCTGGAACATTGAAATATTTCAGCAAGGATTTTACCCAAAACCAAGGAGGCGCCGTTCCTCACCCACCTCTGCAGCAATCGCTTCCACCACACCTGCCACATCATCATCCGTCTCCTCAGACGGGTACACCTCATCACTTGCCACCCTCTCGACCTCCTCATTATCAGAAGGGTAGTAGGCCTCAGCAATTTCACTACCCACACTGCCCTCATCATCACTCTCATCAGGCAGAACACAGTCGCCCACCTTGGCAATTCGGTGCAGGAGCCCATCCGGGTTCTTTGCAACATACTGAAGCAAAAGCTAAGATAAAGAAGCTGCGAATCCCGAGGGAGATGCGGGCACCTTGGTTGGGCGCTCGTCATCAGCTGACTCGGGCATGTTTAACTATGCATATGCTTAGATGTATGAAAATGTCTGCGATACAGCCGCGAAACAGCCGCAATGCACATTTGTACTTGTTGTTTGACTGGTGACCAAGGCAGTCTGCCCTGCTGCTGCTGCTCCGCGCTGCTCTCTGCCCGCACCCCCCTGCGGCTGCAGCGTCGCTATTCCACCTTCTCTCTGCCACTCCATCGCGGCCACCTCAACCACCGCCACCCCAACCACTCAGGTCAACGCCGTTTGAGTTGTTCGTCACATGGCTCCAACCCTGCTGCGCCAGAGAAGGGTGAGGCAGATGGACACACACCAACACCTAAGGGCACGTGTCAACGACGACTGGGCGAATAACAGGCTGGCTGTGGACCCTCATCATCGCGTGTGCTATCGATGATGAGAAACATTTTTTGGTAGAATGCCCGGCGATTGTGTCTGCGCGACAGAAGCTCTGGGACCTCGGTGTGCCCGTCAACGCGGATATCCGTGATATCATGCAAGTGGATGATCAGCGCGGCCTTGCGCACGCATTTCTGAGATCGCATCCGGTGTAATGGGACAGATAACAGCTGGTTCTTGTGTTTGCGCCGTCACGGTAGACGTGCAAGTGTGCGAATGAATGTGTGGTGGAGTGGAAAAGGGAAGGGTAAATGGACGTTTCCCCAGGGACATTTCCCATGGGCCCGAGTCTCTCAAAAACACAGAAAGTGACACCGCACGCTATCTACACACGATGGCTGCGCCGTAAGTGGAACTCGTCGGCTTAATATCATGTCGCCACCTAAAGCGGCTCCCTGATGGCTTTCGCAGGAAAGGCCGCACATCCCGGGCGCATAAATTGTGCAGGTCCCCGCCGCGGTTCTGGTTTTAAACCTTCCTGTAACCTGTTTTCCGCCTGGAGGTCCGCACTGATGCATTTATCGGACGTTATCTGATGCATTTTTCGGACGTTATTGCGTAAATGTGTGTACTACTCTATGTGTAGGACGTTCGGTGGCTATGGCTTCACTGCATACACTTCTGCCTTTCGATACTCAGACAGCTGTGGCTTCGTGCGCTCTGACACAGCTAGAGTAAAGGACCCGTACAGCATGAGTCGATGCGGGTGCTCACCACCACGTGCGCCAGGCACAAACGCGTCAGTCTGAGAAGCGATGAAGAGAGACACGGAGAAGGGCTTTATGACTAGCAGAGTTCAAGACCCAAACGTTTGTAACGCACGCTCGTCAGCCTGTCTACTAATCCCAGGTCCAGGTTTAGTATGATGCCTGTCAATCTCAGTGTCTTGGCGGCCAATTCCAAGCATCTCGACACATCTAGTCTCACCGGAGCTTTCGGAGTACGGAACGCGGGCGTGGGGCTTACGTTTGGACTTTACTTAAATAATAAACATCGAGGACGTGGTGAAGCAGCTGACCGCGTACTAAAGTATATAGATGCGGAAGATGCCGAAGTATATCGGTGAAACATGATGTGGCAGGAGTGGAGAGAATAGTGCAGCGGTATATTGTGAGTGTAGTTGAAGGGTTACAAGGCGTTCACAGACGAGCAGTAGTCAGCTGAAAAAAGGCAAAATGGTCAGCAGAAAGGAGGCGGCTGAGGCTTTCACCGCTGCCGCGAAGGCGCTGGACGTGCGCGGGAAGGAGCTCGGCGACTTGTGCTTCGCCCTGTCCAAACTATCGGTGGAGGAGCTCGAGGTGTTTCCGATAGATGGTGACAACGAGGCAATTGTTGAGTTCATGAGGTCCGTGAAAGGTAAGAGTGGTGCGGGTTCAAATCTGGAAAGGAGTTCACTCACACGCACCCAGCAACCCCGCACCAAGATCTATTGTGAGTGTAGTTTAAGGGTTACAAGGCGTTCGGTGCACGGGCGAATATATGTGCATACCTTTCATCGTGGGCGCGTCATGTTGCAAGCTAAGCAACGCGTACACATGACGTGTAGCATCAGTCCTCAGTTCACTTCTTGTAATGAACATCAGCATAGGTCCAAGCCCTCTCGCTTGGAGGGATATGCAAACAAACATCATGATAGGTAAACTCGCACGCTATCGAGCATTAAACCGAGCACGCAAGCCCAAATAGCTGAAGCTTTCGGGCACAGACCTTGTGAGAGGACTGTGCATGCTATCATACAGTCCTACGTGGCGAATGGTGATGTCATGCAGCTTAGAGGACAAACAGGAACACGCAAACCATGCAAATTTGATGAAAGTCGCTGCACAGGCGCTGGTGCAGCTGGTACAGGCTGATGACCAAGCAATGTTCACCGACCTGGCCACCACTATGACAAACTTACTGGGCACTCATTGGAGCGGCCGTGATATTAGCCGTGCATTGTCTGAGCTGGGTTATGTCCATGCCTTTTACCAGGGCATACGAGGCACAGGAATCAGCTCAGCTGGCATATCGCGAGCTTGTGTGACAATATGTTTGCATGCACGCATGTGTGTGTGTGTGGTGCAAGTATATGGTCCGCTAGTTCCGCTCTCCTCCCCTGGGGGTCAAGGCTCCGTAACACGAGTTTGAGCACTGAGCCTGAAACACACAAGAAGACTGGCTCTTGGGATGAGGGCTCAATGTAACGACGCAAATGCCAATCTGAGCATCCCGGGTTACGCCTTTGCTGTGTTACAATGGTATCGAGACGGGACCGCACGAATTCCGAAATAAACTTCGGGTCGGCGGTTCGATTCTGGCAACCAGCAAGTCGCAAATTGGCGATTTCATGGTGTAATGGATAAACCAGCGCACTGGCGCGAGGTGGGATGGCTCCTGTGCTCGAAATAATGGCCGAGGACGTCCATTGCTAAGTGGGGGGCAATGTAACGACGCAAATGCCAATCTGAGCATCCCGGGTTACGCCTTTGCTGTGTTACACTCAAGAAGACCGAGGAAACTTGGAAACCCTGTATAGACCCTACCCCTCCCTATTAAGGCACCAGACCCTAGTAGAAAGCTCGGTCTCTCACCCAATATTGCATTGCTCAGACAGATGAAGCCACATTGGCCGCAAACCACTTCAGCCATAGCCTGCAGACACAGATGCCGCATCTGCTATAAGTTTACACCCTTCAGCTGTCGTTCATGTATTTATTCACGTATATAATATATCATATTAGCACAACTTAATCTCCGGCAACATAACACCCTGAAAGAGGCAATCAAAACAGGCATGCATCGGCAAACTTAGCTGCTTGTGGCAGCTCAGCACATTCCTAGACATTTTGTCATTTCACTGCGCTGCTTTGGGCCTGCGACTGGGCTCCCAATGAGCACCTCTGTTTGCTTGTTTGTGTTTGCAATAGATGCAGGTGCAGCAGGTGGAACCGACGTGATGGCAACCATCAGGGCGCGCGCTTGTTACTCTTCCAAGTATGCCGCCCACCTGGTGGTGGAACCCCCCAACTATCCACCGTACAAGGAGGCGGCCACAGTGGTTGGGCTGCACCATGTGGCAACGTTCGCGCACGGCAGGCATGGAGAATGGACACTTGGGCAACAGATGCAGGTGTGCATGGCATCATAAGAGTAGGAGCTCCACATGAGGCAGTTTGCCGATTTTCGTGAATGGAGTCTGACTTGAGCTGCTGCCTTATGAATGGTATTTGACTTGGGCTGTTGCTGGTGCAACTGTGCATGTGTATCAACATAGCAACACCCTGGCATTCATATTATAGCACTGCTGCCGCGGAGTGCTGCTGTTCTTAGCGTGACCAATCATGCAGGCAGGCATGCCTCTTGTGCTGTGCATGACTCTGGCCCTCTTACCACCTCGCCTTGCACAATGCTTGTAAGCTTCATGCAACAATGCTCTGCTCGCAGATTGCCGTGCACTGCCCCGACGCGGACCGCAGGGTGTTGGTGGACTCAACAGTGGTGCACATCAATCCCATCCAAGACGTTGCCATCCTCGAGGTGTGCCAGTGTGCGGGTCGGTTAAGCCTACAGTAGCGGCAATTGAGCTTACTTCTGCACATGTAGCACCCTTGCACCTTTCCTCCCCAAGCCCTTTCCTTGCCTAGATTCCCACAAGTCAAGGTCCATGCAAGCTCAAGCTGGAACATTAAAGCACTCACAATTCGCAACATAGTCAACCGCCTGTGATGTTGCTTCACTGGTATTGACCTTCAGGTGCAGTGCAAGCTGGTGCCCCCGGTGCTGGACTGTGGTGTCTCGGCTGGCGACAAGTACTACATCCACGGCCAGTCCACGCAGGCACAAGCGGATGCCACATCCATCAGCCACGGCATGGTGGCGGCGACCGAGCTGGATGCGCACAGCCACATCCGCGGTGACATTGTTGCGGGTGCCGGTGATTCAGGTGGCGGCTGCTTCTCGGTCGACACCGGCAAGCTTGTGGCCATGGTGGTCGGGTCTGACACTCGTACAAACAAAGCCATCCTGGTGCCCAGTGCAGTCATATGCAGCATCCTGTCGGACCTGTCGGCGACCTTGGGGGCTGCAGGAGCAGCCACCTGAGCATACAGTGTCCGGCTGATGATGTACCCGGTGTGGTGATGGGTGGCCAGAGCAAGCTAGCCTGTCGCCAGGATGGGAGGCAGGGCTGCTGTGTGTGTCTGTTGACCTGACCGCGGCATACTCTGGTCGCCTGGCTGGTTGTGTGGGTGGGTAGGTTCAACTGAGAGTGCGTGCAGCAGAGTGGCAGGTTGGGCTCAGGAGTGGCGGTGCCCAGTTGTGGTGGAGGCGGCATCCAGCAGCGGCTGCTGGTGGTGCTGACTGACATGCTATTTCGTGGTGGAGTAGGTGTAAGGGTAGGGAAACCCACAACGAGGGCATGCAGCTGCTGTTGACTGGTGCTGTAAAACTAAGAGTATGGGAAAAAGCATTTCATAATGTCCGAGGTTGGGCTACAACGCGACGCCTTCATTCCGACCCATTTAGACCCATTTAGCCTAGCCAACACCGCCCCCTGTTACTGACATGTATGGGTGGCCTGTGGCCTTCCGGGGCACACCAACCATGTCCCATCAAATCTGGTTCGGAGTCTTAGTGGGGATTCAGTTAATCAGTGGTTGTACGATTGTGGATTGAGACCGGTGGGCCAAACGGGAGGTAGGCGTGACTACCCTGCTGCTCGAGATTAGTCGCTTTCAGGCAACCCTGGCACGCTTATGGCATAGGGTGCGCTGGGAGAATGAGAACAAGTAGACCATGTGGCATCTTGCTGTGAATGGCGTGCCCCTACCTGGCTTGTTTGGTGGGCTCATTACACCTCTCTGAGTAATGCAACCGAGATGCAACAGACACACACACATGTATACACATATATCTCCTTCCAGGCCAACAAGCAAGCATTACATCATCTCTTCACCTGTCCCACACGTACCCTCGCTTCCAGGTGAACCCCGGCCTGGATGATATATATTTGAAACAAGAACTGTGCATGTGCCTATGTTGATCGCCTACCAGGCCTACTTAGTCAAGTAGGTAGACAGCCAGCTACCTAGCTAGTCAAACCAGCCACTTGGCCGACTGCATTCAACATGCTCACCGTTACATGAGATGAGCAGGGATACAATGTGTGTGTGTGTGATGCTGAGTCCCTGTATGGAGCAGGAACATTAGCCAGCAACTGCAACTTACCGGAGATCACGCTGAGGTAGCGGACCCTGTTCAGCAAGCCCAGGTGCTGCAAGCAGTGCAGACAGCCTAGGCCCAGGGTAGTGGCTATCGGAGCCTTATCACCCAGCCCCGGCAAGGTGAAGTCCGGGTTGTCAAGCTCTGGAAAGCAGATGGTGCCGTCCAGGCGAGCAGGCCAGGCCTTGACAGACGTAGTATGAGGGTGAGAGAATATGCCGAGCAATAACCTCGCCTCAGCTGCGACACCGGCCACAACAGCAGAGGCAACATTTTTCTGATCCCCGTAAGCTTCAGTGGGAACCCTGTCTAATCCATCAAAAGCCTTGGACAAGCCCGCAGAAGTGTCATCGACAACGGCGGTAATGGCACTTGTTTCGGTGCCTGAAGCAGTGCTGGCCTTGAGTATTGTCGGTTTGTCCTCCGTAAGGGGGTTGGCAGCCGTGGCAACGCGGCATCCGCTGCCATCCACAGCTGCACCAGTGGGATTATCGACGGCATCCATGGTGACTACTTGTGCTCTTCCAAGCTTTAAACACAACACTTTACGCGCAGTTGTGGCTGGTCAAGCTCCTGTAGGGGATCCTCAGAGTCGACC